ATATATATATATATATATATATATATATATATATATATATATATATACACGAGAGGGTCGTTGATCATTCAACCTAACACGGTTCTGACATTGACACAACATGGTCAACGTTCATTCAACCATGACACGTTAAACGAGTCGTTATTAGGTTACGCGCATCGTGCGTGCTATATGAAATGGTATATATAATGCCTTGAAAATCGCGCCACTCTTTCCTTACTCCAAATTATGCTGAATCAAAGACATATGTTAGATAGAGATATTTGTATACAGCGAAGAGCAGTTTAGATCAATAATGAATAGCTTAATTTTATATAGAGTAAAAGATAAAGTTCCTCTCCTCTTTCTTCAAATGACCTTTGTTGAACATAATATGATCGTGTACTCAATCAGGACGGAACGATAAGACTGTTAAAAGATGGCAGGAGTTAAATTAAAAGGTAGTCGAGGAAAATCTACCTTCACGAAGGTTTTAGTAAAGTTTTGATTTTACACTTTTAAAGCTTTTCTAAAGAACTTTTTGAGGTTCTTTAGAAGAAAGAAACGAAAAGATTTTTTGGCCAACCCGATTTACGTACATCGTGATAATTTATCTGTTTATTATACACTACACTATCAACTGTCATCTGATTGGAGACGTTTGCGATGAGATTACAAAGGCTGGACGTACTGTGCGTATGAGTTATGTGTGAAACAGATTAATACAATTAAAAACCTCTCTTTCTCTCTCTCTCTCTCTCTGTAATTGCTTTTGTACGTGCGCTCGTAATGTTGACACATTCCATGCATAACTGTATTCTTGTATAGTTTCTTATTTAGACAGATATACGTTTCTAACGGCAGTATCTCTCTCACGCGAACGATATTTACTCTCCTCAATAAAAAATTTTGTCCTTCGCCATTATCCATTTCCGTCTTCGTCGGCATGGCATAATTTGCCATGCGACAACCGGATAATTCTCATCCCACCGCATCACACTCGCAGTCAGCGTGGCACGTAAAAACTGCGCGCGCGTCAAGTATCGACGAATGAGAAATGGTGTCAATATATGTATGCATGTATGTATGTATGTACGTACGTACGAATCCTCCATTGGCGAGTCGAAAAAATAAGCAAATTACTTAACGCTTTCGGTGGCAAGAGTAAACAACAGTGTACATCGAGCTCTTGGAGATCTTAGAGAGTACAAGATATCAGGGAAGGATGAAACGGATGGGCATGGAGGGAACGAAAGAAAAGGTAGAAGGTGGCGAGAGAAGACGACGAGGCTCGAGAAAAGCTCATATACGTTCCGTGCGCATACTGCCGTATGCATATTTACAGACGCGTGCACTTTCGCGCCTCGGATCCTCGAATCGGAGAAAGACGATTAAGTATTTGCATCCCGACACCTCGTCGCTAAACCGGCTGCTTTATATTTACTTATATTACGCGCGTGTTGTGTATGTCGTGCCTTCTCTGCACCGCGAATGTCTTTAGCTTACCTTTCTGCTTTTTCCTACTCGCACGAGAACGTTTTTGCGGGCGTGAAGAGAGATTGCTATAGAGAGCTTAAGTTTTCAAGTGTGGTAGACCGAAGCTATCAACTAGGATAGGAATTATGCGACAATAACAGCAACTGTAATACAATAGTGTTATTTTATTGAATTCAGAATTATTCACTTGCAAAAGGAATACTTGGAGTATAAGTATCCGCGCGAGAAACGTAATAATGCGTATACCGCATGAAGATAAGCTCTCTTCTCCTCGTCAAGTTGTGCTTGACGTGTGCTTAACGACAACAAGAGTAATTTTTTGCCAGTAAATTTTTGCCAGCGTGATTTGGTTCGCGATATTTGCAGACGCGTCTAACGACCATGTGGATAATATGTAAAGCGATGAGTTATGATATTAACTCTGAGAGAGCTTGAAACAAATGTTACAGATTGAGAATGCATCGACGCGTAATTTTTCATTATGGATGTTATAGTTTGTTTAGGAAAAAGAAATACGCGAAAATATAACCGAAATACGAGAAAGTGTTTAATACACTAGGACTAGCGAATACATACAACCAACCACGTAGGGTACTTTGCAAAAGTAGCGCGACATTGACGGTTGTTGCACGAGTATCGTATACGCACGCGTTTTATTGTCACGACGATATGTTAATACAGTCACGACGTGCATATGGTTTGCAGACGGGTAAAGGTGTCTTTCGTGGATTGTTTACAGTATCGAGCATCATGACTACGACATCGCGATAGGGATAGATGTAGAAATTCAAGTGGCGCGAAGATAATGAGTGGGAGCGAGATGTGCTAAAAGGTAAGCGATGGATGTCACCATGGTGCGCTGGCGAGAGAGCTGATTCGCGATGTAGAGGGTATTCGGCTGGAGGCATGCAGCGGTGAATGTCGATGTTGAGACGCGGACACGTGGATGTTGATATGGTTGTGAGAAGGAGGAGGGAAACGGTGGAGCAAGGCAAAGCGATGTCGGTCCATCGGCCAATGAGAAGAGAGAAAGAAAGAAAGACAGAGGCAGCGAGAGAGAGAGAGAGAGAGAGAGAGAGAGAGAGAGAGAGAGAGAGAGCGCAGAGAAAGGGTATGGAGAAAGAGAAGAAGACAGAAAGAGAGACAGAGAAAGGAAGACAGTAGAATCTTGTGCCAGAGTCTAATAAAAAAAAGACGAGCTTGGCACTGGCCAGGCGCCCGTGGCCTCGCCAAGCTATACCGTGCCAGTGTGTATGGCGTTACTGAATACTGTTACTGAGGACCATGTCCAGGCTCGCGAAGGGCTGCTGCGGTTTCTTGTACAAACTTTACTCGCCCTGCTCCGCCTTATTCTTCCCCTTTTCTTTTTTTATGCTTTCTATCTTGTTTCCTCTTTCTTTTCTGTTCCTTCTTCTTTCCCTTCTTCGTTCTTCTGCTCTCTTCGATTCGCATTTGCCACTTTTTGTCTTCCTTACTTCTGCATCGTTCCAACAACATGATTCTTCTCTGGTTCTTGGCTCGTCGACGTTCATTTTCTCTCTCTCTCTCTCTCTCTCTCTCTCTCTCTCTCTCTCTTATTTTTGAGTTCCAGACAGACGATACATACGTAGGCTTGTTTCATGTAAACCTTCTAATGTAAGATGCTCCCTTGTTTGCATCCAACTCCGGACTCCTCTTTACCCCATTTTGAAAGTAATAAACGTAGCTGACCTGGGTAACCTTAACGTCGTGCGTCTCATCAGTTTCCTCAAAATGGAGATGAGTTTTGTTGTAGAAGAGATAGATAGATAGATAGATAGATAGATAGAGAGAGAGAGAGAGAGAGAGGGGGAGGGGAGGGGGAAGGGGAGAAAGAGAGAACATTTTACGGATAATTTTGCCGTTGGAAAACAAGAGCGTTGCTCAATCGTATTTGTGTGTGTTTATAGATATTTTCCTTTAATTTTAATACTAAATGACTGAAACAATTTTCCAAAAAATCGTGAAATAAAAGTAGAGCATTCGAAAAACAAATGTAATAAATGGTGTACGGAGAAAACTTTCACTTTTCCAACTTTTACGATATGAAAACTTATGAAAAAACCGAATGAAAAATTTAATTTATATACGTGACATACGAGCGCGCGCGCGCAAACACACACACATACACACACGCGACAAAGTGCTTAAGTGATTAAACAAATGGACTATTGTAAGTAACTTCGACCGAATTTCTCCGATATATAGAGAATCGACATTTATAACATTAGATATTTTTTTTACAAATCTGATTTTACGTAATTCTTGGAGACAAAAGAACGCTCGAGTTTATTAAAAGATGAAATTAAGTAAGTAACATGATAGCAATCTCATTGGAAAAGAGGAACCGAATTATTTATTAATTTAAATGATTTCATGTTATTTTATGATAATTTTGTAATTATTTTGCGAAGAACGTGCCATACAAATACATAAACACACAAAGAATTATTATGCGCGTATCGAAAGCATTTTGTCAAGTGTTTATGGCAATATTTGCTACATCGAGAAGACAACTATAAAAATTTAAAATTTAAATACAACTTTATGGTTATTAATTTCGTTTCGACCGCGGAAAACTGACATTTTTTTCTTAATTTTCTCTGTTATATTTGGGGTTCAAGAAAGACAGAATATAGTAATGTAGGCATATTGCTTCTCATGTAATTGTTTCGCAAGATCTCATATAAAAAGAAACAGAGTTCCCCGTCAACACTCCCTAAGAATATCCTATACAGTTATTTTCATATAACACTAGGTGATATAATACTTGTGTGCACCACTTTTATACAGGATTTTCATTATGCAATTTCTAGTTTTTGCGATTCTAGTTTGCACGATATTAAATTGATCTAATTTCACGGTTATATTTCTTATGTGGCAATGATCGATTCGAACTTTCGTTCTCTGATGGGAATGCTGATCGATGCATGCCGAATTCTTTTAGCAGTTTAGCTGAAAGTTATTTTTAGTTTAGTCAGGGACACACACACACACACACACACACACACAAAGAGTGAGAGAGCACGAGGATAAGTGTCGAAAACGTGGGTTTTAATATATATATAGATATATAGGTTGCGTAGCCACGCTACGTTACATGTGTTCAGTGCGCGTTCAGTGCGTGCACACGTATATGAAGATACATACGTGTAAGTATATCAGTGAGTATGTGTGCGCGCGTGCACGCGTGCGCGCGAAAGTGCGTGAATGTATACGGTGAATGACCCGCAGGGCAAGGACGTTACAAGGACACATACATTTGCAAGCATATCAACATGCGCTGGTTGCATTTGCGGTTGTGATAACGATATTACTTTTCTTCATATTGTCACACATTCTAGATTTATATTCTCTATACTTTTTTGCTCATGGTATGTTTATGTAATAATAAAAAATTAAAGATCAAAAACAAAAGAGACGGCTAAAAAATACAAGTAGAGATTACTGTGATAAATTTATTATCAGAATGTGACGATGTTTTGATTAAATGATTATAATATTGTTTTTTTCCGAAGCGTCCACACTTGGAGAATCCAAATTAAATTTAACAAGTGCAATAATTGTCATGTTATATGCGCTTGCATATCTGATTCCATCAGCGTTTCCATGAGTCTAACAACAAATGTAACCAAAAAATATGTAGAGTTGCCGTGCTTAAAGTAGCCTACTAAGAAAAATGGTCTTTGCGTGTATCGAACAGACAGATGTGTTTTCTGCAGTTTAGTCATTTAAATGTGACGACAATCCCAAACAAGCGTATGGCGCCTACACCCTGCGCGATGTGTATAACAATTTATACGTTTTGAACATTCTACATGCTTTACCTTTACGACGAATATGTATATGTGTGTTTCGTAGATATTGTATTAAGATTATCGATAAATAACCATATCTTTTTCTTTTAGTTTTAATTTTTGACATGTTGCTTGATAATAAGTACAGTCTTGTTTCTTTATGCGTAATATCAAGACTATGATCGATTATTTTATAGGTATTGTCAGAGTACGTTATAGAAAGCCGTGAAAGGGAGACTTCTTTATAACTATGTGTCAGGGCCGGTTGTTCCAATCTTGGTAAACTAACTAATAGTTAAATAATATGTCTATCTTCATCTAATTTGAAGGAAAGTTAGTTTATCTCAACCGGTCTTTAAATCTGTACTTTTCTGTTTGTTTATACATGTTATGTATGTATATATGTGACAACATTTCAAAGTGGTTAATTTTGTCAGAGAAAATGATAAATCTTCTTAGAGTACGTGCATGCGCGTGGCTCTGTGTGTGCGTGTGTGTGAATGCTATCTGAAATACGCAAGATGCCAGGTGGTTGTGTGGATTGCGTGATATTCCTCGAAGGATCCCCGATGAGTTTCTGTAAAAAAAATCTATCAATCTGACTGATAATCAGCGGTCGTGTCGTGTTCGAAGTTAATTGTTTATGGCAGTTTTTCGACAGGAATGTACAGAAAACGATGCTCTTTGTCTCTCGTTTTTTTATCTTCTTTCCATTTTTTAAATAATTTTTTCTCTTTCGCGACTCAGCAACTCGCGCTCCGGTCGATGAACTTCCTGGAACGATCTTGGGATTGCCTTGTGGTATTCCTAATAATGTTTTTTACTTTTACGCTTTTTTTCTTTTTCTCTTATAATATCAGACACTCGTGAAAAGCACGACAACAGAAGTCATACCTTGTAGTTATGTCTTTTCTTCATCACCGCAATTATGGATTTTGCGGAGTAATCGTTAATTTTAAGATAATATTTGTCGCGAAAATTCTAAATAATGATTTAAAATTGTTTTCTGTAATCTGAATCCGAAAAATATATAAGTAGATTTTATACAAGTTAATATTATAATATTATAACATAATAATAGGGGTGCCTAATACTGTGCCTAATATCGTCCTTGTTCCAAGTTCCGCACCCTACGATATTGAGACTGTTACGTGTTGCATTCTGTCAATGAGCAGTGAAAACTGTTGAATAACGCTGCTTTGGGAAAATCAAATCTACAATACACGTTACGTATATTATATATCTTATTTTCCCAATAGTTCCCAATGGGAATAAACGAACGCAGACAAAATGTAGCGTGACAGTTCATAGTTTCAATGAGGTTTCGAAATTTTGCAAGAGGTGTCTTCTGTTATTAAAACAGCAAAAAAAGATATGTATCAAGAACGAATTTCTATCGTGAAAACATGTTATGATATTGTGCCTACGTTCATTCCAAAATAGAGAAATATTCGTTGCTAACCTGCTAACCACTATTGTGATGCTCTAATCGGTTGTTTCTTCCTTGTGGTATTCCTATAATTTTATCCTCTAGGAATGTTCATTATACCGCGCATTTTTCCTATAACTGGTCTGCCTCTAGAATACCTCTGACGCTCCCTCAGCCTCTTGTCCACGGAGTAAAAAGTTCTTTTTCCGACAGTAAATCGACCAGGCGGGATACAGATCACCATAATAGTATGTGAAACCCCATAGCGGTTTCTTACGCGTTAAGAGAGGATATCTTTACCAATCTTATGTGTCGTATTTTGAGTTGTTTCTATTTCCAGCATATATTGTGTGTCATACGTGTATTTTTAATAAAAATATGTGAGGGTGCGATATTAGGAACACTTTTTTTTATGTCGGCAAATGCTTTTTTTTTGTTTTCTTTCAGAAAAGATAGTCAGGCGATGGTAGAGAACGAAATGTAGGCTCGTAGTCATAGACGTAAAGCAAGACAGAGAAAACCGTATACGTACGTAACTATACGTTCGTATCGTCACGTATCAACACGATAGCTTTTCATGACCTTACGTATACGGTTTTCTCTGCCTTGCTTTACATCTATGATTACGATAGACGTAAGAGAGCCTACGTTTCTCTGCCATCAGCCTTAAAGTAAATTTTGAACACATTCATGGAGGTCATATTACGATAATCCTGGAATAAATTGATGCGGTTTAGTCATATTCTTATAGGAGTTTTCAGTCAAAATTTTGGTTTTCAAAAATGGGATGCGATATTAGGCACAGTTCTCCTAGTTAAATAATTACAGGATACCGTATTAAAAGGAGGAATATATTAATGGCAATAGAGTATGTGAACTAGACATCGATTTATAAAAAAACGTGATATTTTTAAACTTTTGTTTAATTTTTTAAAAGTACACATTTTTTAAAAATGCAGAAAAGACGATAGTTAGATTATATTGAATCAGATAACTTAAAAATTTGCTGTTGAATTTTATTACTCCCATAAGACTTTCCGTTTAAAGACATCGTGTTTTGGCTATTTTATAATACCTGTCGCGAAGTTTCGTCGGATTCGTACAAAATAACACATAGAATAATAAAGCCCTTTCCGATGTGAAACAGCAGCCGATTGACTATTCGTTTGTTGCTGAATAAAACAAACTTTTCTTTTTTTCATATATATGCTTTTTTTCTATCAGTACACTGTAACATATTAAGAATATCGTAGCTGGGCTATTCATTTCTTAATGCAAAGCACGTAAAAAAAATGACTTGCCTTTGCGTAGATTTGATTATTTTATTCTTAAAACGGTTTAGATCGCAAATTTGCAATAGATTTTTTTTGAAAGTTATTCTCTATGATATTAAAAAATTTTCATAAATAATTTCGAGAAAAAATGATGAACTTGGATGTATGCGCGCGCGAAAGAGACTTACGTTTGCAATGACCCTTATAAGCGACGGGAATAGCGCGACCCGCGCGGCAGGCGGCGAGTCGCAGGTGGCAGGCACTTTTGTAGGTGTTTCCGTCGGCTCCGCAGACGGGACGTGCGCCGACGACCTGGTGCGGGAGTGCTTGGGGGCACCTGCGGGCGCACCTCACACAATGAGGGCTTAGGTTCTGGTCCAGCAGACAGCTCCGACCTTGGCCGCACCGGACCCGTGCGCACGAACCTGCTCGACACTTTGCACGTTATTACGCACAGTCGTAAACCGCCTCCGTGATAGACGCATTGCCTTTCTTTACTTTTATTTTCAGTCACCAGCTGTTTGGTTTCTACAATACGTGCGTGGTTCCGTTCATTTAGTTATGTCCCGTTCGTTTATTTACGTGGCTCGAGCCACTTTAAAGATCCTTAAAGATGTTAGATTTAAAATATTATAATTTATTCTCTTAGTTTTATTGCGTGTCAGCTAGTTTGCATCTTTCAGACGCTTAAGCTCATTCCAAGCTTTATTGGCATATGTGATTAATACGTGTGCGCAGTTATAGCGTTATAACATTATTACATTGTCCATAAAAAAAAAAAAGTCGCGATACTCGAATCTATCAAAGTTTATTATTGTGCTTGCTTTTCCACGATGCCACCGCGTGGTTCTCTTGCTGCGCTTATTTCGTGAGCGACTGTCATCGTATATTTTGACAGTTATGTGTATGTGTGTATTATAAGGGGTTAATAGTATAATATTAGTAACAGTATAATATTAAAGCTAACTAGCGCGCGCGAAGCGCTCGTCTGTGATGTCTAGTCCTTAAATGTCTACTCTTGAAAAAGCCATGTAAGAGATTAAACTAGTTATCCCTCTAATCTAGTATATTCAATTTGTAAATGTAAACAATTTGAGACACACGATAAAATGAGAAGCTGTATAAAGTTGTGAGATTTATAACGACATTTAATACATTTTTTGAAGGAATGAATTAATATTATCGATATATTAAGTGCAATTTTCCGATTTTTGCATTGATCGCAGGATGCACGTGAGTCGTTATCGCGTGCGAACACGCGGTTCGCTATGATTTATTAGTGTTTCAACGTTTTACGAGATAAAAATATTTTTTCTCGCATGTGCGGTCATTAAATCACGAAGGTTGAATACGAAATAATTACTGTGTCGATAAATAGCCGTAGAGACCAATCCCACCCCGATCGTTTCTTTCCTTATCAGTTTCATTGCGTTTATACGTCCTAATTAACACAATCGTCATTTTGGCGAAAGGAATAATGCTGTAATACAACGCAAACAAAAAATTTCAATATATGTAATGAGGATAAAATGGTTTGGTGATTTTTTGCAAATTAAAGCAAAACATTTTTTGCAAGGCAATACGGAGGCGATCAACTTATCTATACATACTCACTTTGACAGTGGCCGTTGTAGGCAACCGCGAGTTCGTGACTGCCCTTCTTGCAAGCTCGCTTTTTGAGTCTACACAGGCTCTTATAACTCTTGCCGTCCGTTCCGCAGACCGGCCCACCGCCACGCGGTGCTTTACACTCTGGACTGCACACGCACCTCGGTCTTCCTCTACGTACCACGCACTTTTTTCCTTCCTCGCACTTCACTTCCGCGCAACTCTCTGTCGAATGAAAACGATTCGTTACTATATATTTTGGGTTTACATACCATAATAAATGTTCGAGATAACGCGGTTGTTACTAGTCAAATGTAGAAATAATAGAATCGATAAGGAATTTCTGCTTTCTTTCTTTCTTTCTTTTTTTTTTTTCAAGTAATAAACTGAAATGATGCACGCTACACACAGACGCGCGCGTGCGCGCAATATTTGGATAAAATAGTAAATGAAAATTAAAGCCGATTTTAATTATTGTACGCGTATCACGATGAGTAGTAGTACGTAACAGTTTGTTACGTACCTCGACAAGGACGACACTGCACACCACCACCAAGAACTCTCCAGAAGAAGAGACTTCCACTGTCCAGGTCTTCGTCGGAATAGGCAGTCGCTGCTGCTGCGTTAGATGCGCAACAATTTTCTTTCGTAACACCTTGCGATAGAAGTTCTTTACAACGGCCGTTACTGATAGACGACCAACATATACCACCTAACACAGATTGATCTTCATAAAATAAATGTAAGATTCAAATTTCTTTTAAGTCAAATAAAAGAACAAACATTATTATAAATAGATTTTAATATATATTATATTATAAATATAGATTTATATATACAGAATATTACAGAAATAGAAAAATATTCGATTAGTTATACAAAATAACAATTTCCGAGTTCGTAATTTAAGCAAAAACTTGGCTGAAATCGTTTATGATGTTTGGTTAGGCTTAGAATAATGATGAAGCAACCGACAAATGGCTCATTTCGCGGTATTAATAGTCATATTTCCTCTTCACATTGAATGATCTCGCCTCGTTTGTTTACGTTCCAGTTTTCGGGAATGCCACGTTTAGGTGCATTTGCGTCAACTGTAATACTCGTAGTGAGAATGCGATATAACACGGTATGATGTGACGTGGTATGTGGTGCTGGATGTTGGTGTGGACAGACGTTTGGCCAAAATAGCTGCTCTTTCATCGATTTCTTTTCCTACGAGTTTCCTAAAGTAGGCATTGACTTATCTTGCAACAGTCTGATACGATAAGACACCGTTGTGGATTCTCATAGGATTCTCGAAGACCATGGTAAGAGCTTAATCCAGACTTGCATAATTGAATAACTATAATGTGTACATAAGGAAAATTATCCAATCGCATTTTACACGCGTCCTTAAGATAGAAATGCGATTGTATAATTTTCTGTATGCATATATAGTTACGCAATTATGCAAGTTTGTCTGGATAGGCCCTAGGAGTCATTTGTAGTTTTATCTTTTGCAACCTGGATCTCGATCTAGAATCGTTAATCTAATCTTGTGAATATACTTTAGGGCGTTGCACGTACACAGACACAGTTTTATTTGACGATTTCCTCACACGAAGTCACTCAATAGAATCAGATGTGTTGCCTTGTGTGAATGTATAATGAATGCAATTAGCTTCTCTATAGATCAATAGTAAGAGTTAGAGTTATGTCAAATATATAATATGTCTTACGACATTGTTGCCACTACTTTATTTACAATCCTCGTATGACTATCCTGTCCAAAAATAGTTGCGCTATTGGTTTACATATACTAGTTCACGAGCACGCGCGATTCTAAAAGTTTGTATACCAAGGAGATTCAACTCAGACTCTGAACAAGAGCAAATAATCTTTTTTATTAATTATTAATAAAAAAATAAATATTTATAAAAATAAAGTGCAGAGCTGGTAATCTTATTTGCAAGATTAGATACAATAATATAATGTATCATTTTCATAGTTAATTTTATGATATATTCATTATTGCGATATATTCATAGTTGACGCACATAAATTGATATATTTGTTTGAAAATCGTAATAACGCACGTTCGAAACTTGGCTCATTTCCACATTTACGTTACTAAACTAGTTAAACATGTGCCAATTGCGCCTGATGATTCACGCGTGATAACACGTGATATATTTAAAGTTTTGCAATCGGTCGATTGTGTAAGGCCAACGATTTAAATTCGTAATCCGCATGATTATAATATATATGCAGTCTTTTGCATAAAAGTCAGGCAATATTTGTTTTTATTACCATTGTTTGCGTATTATCGCCTTTACCTTTCTTTATTAGTAACATGTTTATTTTTACTTTTACTTGTATTTGTATTTTCTCTCTCTTTCTCTCTCTCATTTTTTCCGTCGGTGATTTTGCTATATAGTGTATAGTTATTTACATTGTATTTATTACATAGTATAAATGTGTTACAAATGTTATAAGTGTTCTCATGTTTTGCATGTCGCAAAAATTTTCTTTTCTTATTGCTTTTGTTAGCTTGATGCTTTGAAAATATATTGAAATATATTCGAAACCGCTCTATTTGCCAATTTGTAATTATTTAATAACGAATTGCTAATTGACGAAGCGTGCCATGCGTCGTCGTTAGAGACGGTGGAACTAATACTACCACTATCTTGTTATGGGGCGAAAAGGAAAGTCTGACATTAATTTTTGGATTCGATATTCGCGATTAGGTGAGACATTGAAAAAAGAAGAGAAAGAAGAAGGTGGGAGGAAAAGAAAGGAAAGGAAAGGAAAAGGGAAGAAAGAAGAAAGAAAGATGAGAGATAAAGACAGAAGGATGAAAAAGAGGGAAGAGGAAGGAAGGAGGAGGGCAGAGGGACGAGGAGGTTAGGGTGGAGAGGATGGGGGGGAGAGGGAGAGGGGGAGAGAGAGAGAGAGAGAGAGAGAGAGAGAGAGAGAGAGAGAGAAGCATGGTGCGGAGCCGAATGGCATCACGGTTCGGCGTGTCTAGACTGCGACGTAGCCACCGTTTGGCCCAGTTACACTCTTCTTCCTCTCTTCTACTCATTCTTCATATCCTATTTCTTTCTCGCCGAGTTTTTTCATTTTTTATTTCTCAAGTCTCAAAATGTTTGTTATTTAAAATATTTGAAAGGAAATTTTTGTTAAGGTCATAGTATAACTTTGTATTGTGGTTTATACATATATGTCTATCTGATCGTGAAATGTGACCCTTTAGGGTCACTTAAAGCAGATGGCATCAACCAAAAACAAGTTTTTCCAGTATTTTACTACAAATTATTTTATTTACATAACGATAATTAAAATTAAACGTGCGACATTTCTTTGCTTACGTACGTGATTTTGATTTATTCAATATAGGTACGACAACGTCTTTTCTTGTGTAGAGTACGTGTGTATATACATGTTTTGCAAAAATGAAAAAGTTTATATAGCAAATTAACTTTTTTACATTTTATATTTCAAATTTTAACATACGTACTCGTGGCGCGTACTACGGATTCCATTGAAACAAATGATAATGACAAGAATTAGGAACACTGTTTTTTATTACTTGGTTTCTTGATAGGCTATATTGTCATTGAGTGATAAGCTATAAACGTCTTTAACCATATTTAGTTGGAAAGTATGAAAATGTAGTATACTTAGTTGTTTTGTTTTATGGTAATTAAATACAGGTACCTATATTGCGATGGACTTTTAAAATGTCTTCATGGCTTCTATCACACTATACGGATTTAAATTGAGATTAGATTGAAATTTAATCAAGTGGAATAAAGAAAAATAATCTCAAGTTTAGTGAACTTTGCTCTGATTGGTCAAATTTCAATCCAATTTTAATTCTAATCCGTAGTCTGATACGGGCTCTAGCCAGATAGACTCCATAGACATGTTGGCATGCGAAATGCAACCTGCCGATTAAAGTGCCCATGCGTTCTCGCGGTGTGTGCTCACCGTGCGTCAGCTTTTGTGCCAGCGCATGTACAATCATCTCTCATATAATCCAAGTACTTGAAACGTCACATCGAAGGATTCGTATTAATTATATTAATAGTATTGTTTGCTTATTATATTGTATTGTTTTATTGATTGTATTGCATTGTTTTATTACTATGGAAACCAGAGACCGCTTTTGTGAGTTTCGTTTAATCTTAATAAACGGCTTAATATGGCTAATAGTTTTGAAATTACAACCGAAAATTCTAAAATCTATTGTGCCAATTCGAGAACGTGTTTAATACGATAAAATGATCGAAAATCATTTTAAATCTGTTTATCACGTACGTGGTATGTCTAGAAAGTAATGAGACTGAATTATTTTTCTCAACAACTGGTAACACTGTAAAAACGAGACTGCAGTAGACCGAGAGCTATACCGTAATACTCTCTACCTTTAGTTAAACGTTTACGTTGATAACATTAACACATGTGATTCTCTACACGCACTTTGTATAACTGTATGTTTGGCTGACGCGCCACGAAAATGGAACTCGAGAAAATCTTGAGCAGCGTTATGCAAAGTTTGACACAGCAACGTCTGTGTCAAATTTCAGAATTCAACGCGACAGAAACATTTAAAAAGTTGAAACAGACTTACAGAGATATCTCAAGTTCTATCCCGGGCACAAGCTTTTAGGTGACACAAGGCATTTTTAGTAGGGATGTGCCGGATACAGAAATTGCCGGATACCGGATACCGGATATTCGGTAATAACATGAAACCGGATACCGGATATTTGCCGGATTATCCGGTACTAATTTCTAAAAAATTTTTAGTTATATATTTTTTAAGTATTTTTCGCTCGTACTTTTAGTTGCATATTTTGTCCCTAGTGCTTTCGTTTGAACGCGCGCTTGTCTAACCTAAAGAGCCTTTCTTTCTCTCCTAGAGACTAGTAGAGACTCTCTGCCTTGGAGTCTGGTGTCTAACTCTCTAGCATGAAGAATAGAGAGAAGGAGCCCGGACTTAAGGTGTTTCTTCACGTTGACGCTCGATCGTATGCTCGCTGAAAATGAGCGTCGAGCGTCAACGTGAAATGGCACTTTTATATGGACAATGCGTAAAAAAATGCGACCGAATACCGAGCCAAGCAGCAGTTTAATAATGCTCCGCAAGGTTGCGCTTTCGTCTCACGGGACTCACACGTACACGGTGGACTTTTGTGTTAGTTGGTACACAGTTATGCACGATTCTAACTCCCCACCCTCCCCATCTCTTCTCCTCCTCAAGCCATCAGGCACTTTGTGATTGTAATGCCACTTGTAGGTAACTATAGGTACCATCGCCGAGACTCGGTTTTGGTCGCATTTTTTTAACCCACAGTCCGGGCTTCTTCTCTCTATTCTTCATGCTAGAGAGTTAGACACCAGACTCCAAGGCAGAGAGTCTCTACTAGTCTCTAGGAGAGAAAGAAAGGCTCTTTAGGTTAGACAAGCGCGCGTTCAAACGAAAGCACTAGGGACAAAATATGCAACTAAAAGTACGAGCGAAAAATACTTAAAAAATATATAACTAAAAATTTTTTAGAAATTAGTACCGGATAATCCGGCAAATATCCGGTATCCGGTTTCATGTTATTACCGAATATCCGGTATCCGGTATCCGGCAATTTCTGTATCCGGCACATCCCTACTAAAAATGCCTTGTGTCACCTAAAAGCTTGTGCCCGGGATAGAACTTGAGATATCTCTGTAAGTCTGTTTCAACTTTTTAAATGTTTCTGTCGCGTTAAATCCTGAAATTTGACACAGAATTTGCTGTGTCAAACTTTGCATAACGCTGCTCGAGATTTTCTCGAGTTCCATTTTCGTGGCGCGTCAGCCAAACATACAGTTATACAAAGTGATTGTAGAGAATCACATGTGTTAATGTTATCAAATTGAAATTTTAACTAAAGGTAGAGAGTATTAATGTATAGCTCTCGGTCTACTGCAGTCTCGTTTTTACAGTGTTACCAGTTGTTGAGAAAAAAATTCAGTTTCATTACTTTCTAGACATACCACGTACGTATATGAAGATATATAATCCTTTCCGTTTGTTATGAACCTTGTACACAAACTTTAATCTTGGGCTGTTCCGGTATGTATCGACAAAACAACACGGGATGTCGCGAGATTGTGCGGTAGCAGGTGGTAAAAAGATCGGTGCTTGCTGAAGCAAGCGCTGGGCAGGTATTCGCGACGTGCCGTAGGGGAGACGAGTTCTTGCCCGGACAAGACGGGCACGCGGTTAGTCATCAAGGCTCAGAGATTGTCCCCACGTACACGGCAACTCGACCGGTTGACCAAAACCACAAGATTCTCCCTTTTGTTCTTCTCTTTCTCTTCTTCCACCACTTCCGATCCTCGCGAGTTCTCTAGCAATCTCGAAAAGTCCATCAGAAAAAAGTATGTCACCTGTGACATTATTTTTCAGGCATATATACAATAGATAAATCATTTTGATGAAAATGCTCAAAATTCGCTCAAAGTTGCTAGCGAAAACACGATGAATAAAAACGAGAGTGTAATTTTGAATCGCTAATTCTGTAGTCTACGAATCCACTTGAATATTTCCATATGGGAATACATTCCACTATAGAGACTAGAGTATATAAGCTGTGCTTCCTGGCTTAGATTGTTGCTTAAAGTTACGAATGATGGTAGAATTTTTTCCGGATAAACGTTTGACACATTGACATGATGACGCTCGTGAAAAATTACAACTATATATAGGATTAGCGAAAAGCGTTATTCATTTTCTCTCTAATTTTACTTGCTTGTCAATAAAATTTTACATCATCTTCAAGTATTAAATTATAAAATAAATCTTTCGATTGGGTAAACGCATTTTATTTCATTGTCCAACTATATTTCATGCTTTATCGTCGTCAATTAGATTCGAATCTTGAAACTTGATTAATTACGTTTGATTTGCCTTGTTTGAGGATGCTTGGAATCTGCATCGAATGAAGCGACGTAGTATATTGGTATCCTCGCGCGTGACAATATCTTAGAGATTTTCAAATATTAACTTTCTTCGTATGGAATATGAAGCCAGCCGCACGCGCCCGCGCGCGCGCGCACGCACGCACGCATCGCACGCATGCATACATGTACGCATAACTCAAGTGTTTTATCGCGGGCTCGCCATCTCCCAAGACTGCTGCGCCTTCGGTCATGCTCGTCGAACTGTTTTTACCGTGGTCTACCCATGCCAACGGATACGGATCCGAGGTGCTAATCCGATGCATCTATACACGCCCAGCTAATAGAACCAGTTTTATGCGTACTGAAAACTGGCATATTTTTTTGAAAAATATTGTTTTTCTCTCTTTTTTTCTCTTTTTTACATGATATTAATTTTTATTTACGTTATCTCCTCTTTGCAAAGTCAAGACATCGTGGTATGTAATATTAGTAAAGGAGCTTTCACGTGCGTAGTGTAACATCTAAATATTTAGATTGACAGAGTGAGATTGAATGGCTTGATTAAAATTGTTATAGTGTATTGGTTTTTTTTTTTAACAAATGAATCTCAATTCATGTGATTTTTTCCATATTTAAGTTTTTCTTATTACTTTTTACAATATAGAAAGCTGCGCGAGCACAGCACAGATTGATTTCGAAATCGCAGTAGTTTCTCAAAATATGATTTCTCTATCTATCACGTGCGGGCCCTTTCTTCCTCTTTCACGTCCTTCACGGGACCCACAGAGTCTCCCGTTCCCGTCCTTCTTTCACTCGGTCGCGGTGGCATCGTCCGTGCGTCTAGAGGCTGAAGCGCCTCTCGTTGATGCGGAGCACTGACCCGCAAACTGGTTCCTCCATTACACCAGGCTTTCTTCCCCCTTCCCCTTTTCTCTCACTTCATCTTTTCTTCTTTCTCTCTGTCTCCCTGCTTCATATATACCTTCCCTTCCCCCTTTATTTCTTCTTTCTTTTCTCTTTCATGCGCGCGCGTGCGTCCATGCGTGCGTGCGTGCGTGCGTGCGTGCATGGATGTATGTATTGTATGCATGCATGCATGCATCTTTTCCTCTCTCTCTCTCTCTCTCTTTACGTTTCAGCGTGTCCCTTTTACTTAGCTTCTCCGCATCCATATCAGACTCGGCAAAGCCTCTTCTCTTCCTCTGCAGAATGATCGGCCTCCAAGAGTCAAAGATTCGGCAAGAGAGCGCTAAAACAGACAGCGCTGTATCGTCTGTAGTTTTATCTGAGTCTTTAATCAATCTGCTAAACTTTATTATTCTCGATGAGCTTTTTCGAATTACTTGTAAAATTGCTTTATGCGACTTATTTGTATGCTGTATGACGTACTGTTATTGTGCTGAAATTAAATCGCAAGGAATAATAAGAATAAAAAGTGAAATGTAATTTATGGTATGTTGAACTAGACTAATATCTCACGTAATATGTACCTTTGAATTTTGATAAGAAGACTGCTTAGATTTATCTTTGTCCCTTAATCTATGATCTATAAACGTGTTTCTAAAATTACCGCTTTGGATGTTAATCAATTTTTAAAGCTTCGCTAAGTTCGCGTTCCAGTTGTCTGTGCTTGTGCGGTGTAAACGTTGCCGCCGTACAAACGTTGAATTAATGCTGAATTAATTTGCACTTTATCCATGCATCTGTCCAAAGGCAGTCAATCGTTTTATGCATTTCTACGAATAATCAGCAATGTCAATAAGACTAATTTAATTGACATTGCATGTAATTGGTGTGGTCGGTCGCCGAGATTGTTCGTTGTCGATATTGTTGCCGACACGAATTCAATTCAACGTAAAGAAGCAAACACATATGCAGTATATTTTGTTAGGATGCATTGATGTGCGGTTTACAATTATTTTAGATTCAAATTGTCGAAAGGCAAAAGATCGAGGAGGAATGGCAAAAGTTATATTGTAGAAGGATTATATTGTAGAAAATCGAATATCGTTGGGGTGCGCCTTATCCAGCATCTAATTTTTCTCCGATTATTTAAAAACAAAACGAAAAAGACAAACGATGACTTTGCTTTGCTGGCTAGATAGATAATTAACGCAGGTGTTAATACAAAATAAAAAATATTGTGCTAAAAAGTGCAGCATTGGACTAATGTGAACGTGCCGTACATAAAGTTAATATGCAAATACTCGGACACACGCGCGTTTCGTTTTTTTTCGATTCATGAATTGTTTGCTACATCGCAAAGCACTAAACTGATGAACATGTAACCAGCTAAGCCGCGATGCCCGCAACAGCAAATTACGATGTTGGAAATTATAGCTCTGTGAAATCACAAATTACAAATTGTACACCAAGATATTGACAATATTGCAAATTGCTCGTGATATATAAAGGCCAACCCTCAGATCACAAAGGAGACGTATGCTGTATCTAACGACACACGTAGTTTATCTTTATGTGTTTCGAGAGAAGCTTTTTCAATTCAATGTCACCGCGTGAAATAATATTGTTTTAGCCAGTTTTTAATTAAATTATGTAAATTTTGTTTTCAATTAATAATAAAGCGAGTTTTCCGAAGTAAAAATCTTGACGTAATTTAGACGATAAACTTTTATTAGAGGAAATTCTACATCATTAATGTCGTTGTTGTTTAGATATTTTTATTCTTTTTACTAACGCAACGCTACACGAGAGAAAGGGGAGGGGAGAGGGAGAGGGAAAGAGGGAAAGAGAGAGAGAGAGAGAGAGAGAGAGAGAGAGAGAGAGAGAGAGAGGGAGAGAGCAACTCGTGTATTCGATTACGGGGAGAATGTAATGGATGAAGCTTTATTCCCAAAGAACAGTAAGCAATTAAAGATCGCGAAATATTATCATCATACATCATATATCAAGTAACAATGTTGTACCAATTACATCATTATGATATGTTACATACGTTAATGACATGTTACATCATTATTTCTTACAAGATTTACAACAAAATGTAAATGTTGGAATTAAAGCTTTTTCTCATTGATTCGCTACGAGGCGAAGCTATAGAGTCAATATAAATACTGTCAGGAGAAACACTTACCCGTCGTTGAATGGATTTGGAGCAATAATCCGATTAGTGACATCAAGAGGAAGGTTCTATATGGGGATACCGTGATATCCTGCCGCAAGGCCGTCATCTCAGGCGGCCCGCGCCAGGTGCTCTCCCGACGTGCCGCTATCCCTGCGGTGAATCTCACCTCAGCTTTCTTAACTTCCGCCTTCGTTCCCGTCAGGTCTGCAACGTGCCGACTTCGTGTTTCACATTTCATCTGCCTGTGCCGATTCTTATCCAATTTGGATCTTCGTTTTCACCACGTAAACTATAGCGGAAGATCGTGAATTACGTGTCAACATCAGTTCACTGTTCTCTCTGAACGAAATTGTTGAACGAAATTCATGTCATAGATTTTGCTTTCTGCATCGCACACATGCTTTCATCAAAACAGATATATATATGAATGTTTCAGAATGGGAATTATCTTTTATTATCATCAAGTTGGAGATAATTTCTGTGTTTCAATAAAAAACTGAATTTTGTTTCACCGTGTCACCGTGATTTCACGCATGTGCACATGCTCTACTATAGACTACAAAAGTTATTATTGTTGGTGTAAAATTTATATTTTTTAAATTAACATAATATCATTATGTTAATTTGTTCGAATATTTATATTGAATATTTTTGTCTGTTGATCGGTATGTGTTTTCTTTCTCGTTTATTCAAACATCATGATTAAAACGTCACGGAACTTTATAATGTCATCTATTTGTCATCTCGCAAATCTCTTTTGTTATTTTAAGACCTTTTTATACATGCAAATAATAACGAGTTTTTTCCGGCGATTCAACTATTTTCTATTTATATGCCAAATCTCATTGAATCTTGTAAAATACCTGTACGCGGTTCTTAGATTATGACAACTACGTATTGTGATGTCCATGAGACGCAAAAATGGGTCGATTCAAACACCTGTGGCTGGTTGAAAGTTTCGCGTTAAACGTAATGGTTGTATTGTTTGCGTATTATTATTTGTCCCATTGCGCCTTATAGCTTTTTGCGAATATTTATATCCTCGTTTGATTCGTCGGTCGAAGCACGACACTTTTGAACCCACCAGTCGCGAATTATCGCGACACGTGGTGTACGCGCGTTTTACAAAACAAAATGCACATTGCACAAGCAGCGATTTTAAAGGACCCTTGTGTTTTGACAACACATAGTTTAATCCTTTGCGCGCCTTCCACGCTCGACTCTTTTTTTTGCAGCCAATTTCGTAATATTTCCAAGAATACACATAGATAGATTTCTCGCGATTTACCTCAGCATCCTCAGCGTTGATAGATATCGGTCTTTCTTAGCTATCCACGATTTTTGGTGGAGTGCTCGTTAGATTCACGACATGATTGTCGATCCTCCACGAGTTTGTTTCGCGGCGCGACGCGCAGATTCGTCTGCAGTCGAAACTAAACGCGCGAAAAATCGCCAGGCAGACTAAGAGAAGCAGTCGACAGTTGGTAGTCGGCAGCCAGCAGTAACAGGAACAGCAGCAGCAGCAGCACAAGGCGAAACGTTTCGCCGTATGCCGAGCGAAGCTCTGCAAAAGCAGTTTGCACACGCGGCCGCGCTGTGTTGTATCGTCCCCACTTCCCTTCTTTGACGGCGGCGGTGGTGGTGGTGGTGGTGGTGGTGGTGGTGGTGGTGGTGGTGGTGGTG